TGCTCCTTGGCCGCAGCCTACGTGCGAGGGGTAGGGCTCCGCGAGGCGTTCAGCCGGGCTGCTGGCTGTCCGGGGCCCGCCTCGTCTGCCTTGGAGCCACAAGGTTTCTTCAGCCCCTGTGCAAGCGCCCGCTGGAGCAGTTAGATTCCAGCTGCCTGGCGGTGGTTCTCTGTTTCTTTGGCTAAGAGGCAGCTGTCGTCATGAGCACTAAACTTCAGGGCTGCATAGAGAATCCGAGAAAACGAGAGTGGGAAGGGACCGAGGAGGCCGTCTAGCCTTGTGCAGTGGCTTTCAATCTGTGGTCCGTGGATCTCTGGGGGTCTGCAGACTGTGTCTAAGGGGTGTGTGAAAGATGATTGTGATCCATGAAAAATACGCAAATACCCACGCTTACAATTCAGAGGGGGCTGCACCTCCGCTCCAACTTCTTTAGGAGTCTGCAAAATGAAAAAGGCTAAAAGCCACTTATCTAGTGATTTTCAGCCTTGCGCAAAGCGCAATGATGGTGAATCATACAGATTATCCCCAGTGATAATCATCCTAGCCAATTCTGTCTCCCTGGGTCTTAAAAACCTCTAAGGATGGAGATTCCACAGCCTCTCTGGGTAGCCGGTTCCAGTGCTTTACTACCCACCTAGTGAGACAGTTTCTCCTCATATCTAACCTCAGCTTCCCTTGCTGCAATCTGAGATTGTTGGTCCTGTATGTTGCATAACTCTTCCAATTCTCATTTGCAGAAGGAATAGAGCTGTTTGTTTTGTTGTTGGACTGTCTGCAGTGAGAGGGTTTTGCTGTGCTGTGTCAGCAGGGTGATACCATATGAACTTTGAGTTTACACAGAGTCTGTCTCTGCAGCCCATGGGCCCTCAAAGATGCATATTTAGAAGGATATGCTGGCAGGTAACCTCTGGCCAATGTTTAAACCTAAAAAAAGATTACCAAACTTAATATGGGTAGAGGTGTGTTTGTAATATACTCATGAAATACAAGTGATGAGACCAAGAAGATGGCAGTGAAGTGAATAAGCACTGTCCGTGTAGGTATTGACTTCTCAGCATCCAGTGCTAGATCAGCTGAGCTTGTCAGAAGTTGACCTAATTCTGTCCGTCTCTTTCCCAAGTTTGGCCTTGTTCTGGTCTCCTATGCTGCAAGGATAAGGAAACTTCTGTTTTGAAAACTTCCATGTATTTTCCTTGACCTGCAACTTTTGTTCTGAAAAAAAGCAATTGTTACATCAAAGCATACTGAGCTAAATACTAGCCAGGATAGTAACCTGTGCTTCTAACATGGCTCTCAACAGAGGCAACTAAGCTTGGAGTTAAAAAAACATAGTGAATAATTCTCAGGAAGCTCAGAAATCTAGAGGGTGTGTGTGTATGTGTGAGTAAGATCTGCATGCAATTAAAAGACCTAGATTGTTACTGAAGGGTGGAAAATTGGTGAAACTGGCCAAATTATCTTAAACATTCCTCTAGAGATGTAAGGTGTCCTATATTTCTTTATGTATTGGAACCAAATACATGCATTGTAAAACATAATTCTTTCTTTCTTTTTTTACATGCATGTTTCTCTTCTGGATTGTGATTTAAGGCATTTCCATGCTAACATCTGCTCTCTTTCTGTTATGATCTAACCACCTAAACTTTACATATATGAAAAGATGCTAGTTGCATGTCTAATGGCCCTTGACCTAAAAGCTGTCAAATAAAAGCATGAACCCCAATTTTGCTGAGCAACATCTGGAATTTGGGCCCTTTACAAAGAACAGGGGGGGAAAAAACTGGGATTTGAATATCTGATGGAGAATAATTATAATTCCCTTCAGTTTGTTAACAGTCTAACTTGTAAGCTTCCATGGTGAGCAACTAGAGAGATCCCAAGCAGCATATCCATATATATGAGTAACATTAAGGCACTCAAAGTTATGATGCTGCCAAAAAAGAAACACTTGTACAGAAAGTTACAATATGCATCTGGTTCCTTCTCCCCCCTTCCCTTTGACTTTGTTATAGGTTCAGGATAACTTGGTTATTTTTTATTCTGAATTTCCTGTATTCTTGTCTTAAAAAACCTCTAATGTTCCATACATTCAGACCACTGATGTACTATGACTTGGTTTATGGATGTTGTGCAAAGTTGGGAAGGAACTGAATGGATGATCTCAGTCCATAATAGCCTTGTTGTTTTCGTTCTGGCATCAACTTAACTGTTGCAGGTGCCTGACAGTATAGAACAGCCAAGTATGAGCCTCCCCTGTGACTCTTTGAGGTGGGGAGAAGCAGTCTAAAACATGCTGCAGGAAAACCTGGTAGATTTACAACTAAATTAAACCTTGGCTGTACCATGTGGACAGTGTTGTTGTTTTGGGCAGCTGTCCAACCTAAGGAGACTGGAGCTGAGTTATTGCAGATCACTTGAGGCTGGGCATCTATGCTTTGAAGCAAGGTGGCATAGAAACAATTACTTAAGTAGCTTAGTTACAGCAACTTCCAAACATTCAATAGAGGCAGCTGTTGTGCACTTCAGAAATCTGGGCCCTGAGCAGAGTTTGTGCTGGTGCCCAGAGCCAAACCCCTTTCTTCAGGCTATCTGAGCAGAAGGCTGGAGGGGCACAGTCTGGCATAATGTATGGATACTTCCATTGTACCAGGTTTGGGTGCAGCCTTCATTCTAGAATGGGTGCCTTGATCTCAACAAAGGAAGCGGCATTGCCAGTGACCGGTTACACCTTCAAGTGTTTCTTGGAACCTACTCTGTTTTTCAGGCTACAGGTTTACACCCCTAGCCTAAGATCTTATCACTTCAGCCCTTCACTGCCACCCCTGATCC